TAATAATAATAATAATAATAATAATAATAATAATAATATAGTGAATGACTTGATGCCGCTGCCTCCGACTCAGCCTCTGGGGTCATCCTTGAGCCTATCTCCGAGTCATGGCCTCTCAGAGGCTGATGTTATCTCCAGCCCAGCCTTGGCCCATTCTAGCCCTGTGTCTATCAGGCGGGCAACTGCAATTCAGCTCTCGAACTCAGAAGTTTCAGCATCGGCTTCTCATCCACGTAAACGTTTGGCTGAGTGGTGCCATGTTTCTCCACTGGTTCAGTCGCCCAAGCATCAGGATGTTATTTACATCCCTCGGTACTCTCAATGTCAATACTTGGCAGATGATATCAAGAGCTCCGTTATGAGGAGAGTGATCGCATCGATGCTCTTAAGGTGAGATTGAACTATCGTGAAGCTTGGAGAGATGCCATCTTTGCCCTTCAAACCCTGGCGGACGTAGGTCTAAAGGTCAACCTTGAGAAATCTCGTCTTGAGCCTTTTCAAACCACGGACTACATTGGAGTGCACCTCAATTCTATCGGGGCCAGAGTCTTCCTTCCTCCCGAAAGAATTCTCAGGTTGAGGCGAGCGATTCGCCTGTTTTGCCCTTCCGCTGTGGTTTCGGCTCACCATACATAGCACCTACTCGGCTTGATGGCTTTGATCACGTTGGTGCTCCAACACGCAAGGCTGACAATGCGCTCTTTGCAGGCCTGGTATCCGGCCCAGTTCAATCCTCTCATACACCACCATTACAAAAGATGACGTGTGACTCCAGAGTTGGCCTATCAACTAAGATGGTGGGCCTTTGTCCCTCACCTATTTGTGGGCCGTCCTTTCAGGCCTCTCCAGCTGGCCGTACAGGTTACAACAGACGCCAGCCCAATAGGCTGGGGTGTGCATTGCGGTGCTCACGAGATCCACACCCTCTGGTCAGATGCAGAAAAGCTATTGCACATCATCTATCTGGAGATGCTCGCGGTCATCAAGGCCTTTCACGCTTTCCGTTCTCTCGTAGTTGGCAGAGGAGTACAGATTGCCACGGACAATATGACCACCCTGTATTATATCAACAAACAGGGTGGTACTCACTCACTTTCGCTACTGTACTGGCGATTCATCTTTGGGAGTGGTGTTACGACCACCACATTTTCCCGCTTGCCATTCATGTGTCGAGAGAGGACAACGACGTCGCCGATCGCCTGAGCCATCTTACCACCCAAACCCACAAGTGGCTTCTCGGCGCCGCCGTTTTTGCCAATCTCTGCAGTCGGTGGGGTACCCCGACCGTGGACGTTTTTGCCACTCGGAACAATCCAAAGTGCAGCATGTTCTGTTCTCGAGCAGGGAAAGGCCTAAGTTCTCGAGGCGACGCGTTCATGGTGGACTGGGACAAAGCGCTGCTCTATCTCTTCCCTCCTATTCCTCTCATCCAACGGACAATAGTCAGGATCCAGCAGTTTCAGGCCGATGCCATCTTGATAGCTCCCTTGTGGCCTCGTCAGCCATGGTTAACCCGTCTAAGGACCCTGTCGGACGACTTCTTCAGGCTACCTCTACAGCCGTACCTCCTGACTCAAGGCGACAGCATGATTTGTCCTCCTGATTTGGAGTCTCTCCACCTTACAGCCTAGAGGGTTCTTCCTGGCCATTCCCATAAAGCCTTCTCCTGGGTTATTATAGTCTTATAAATGGCCTCTAGGGGTCTAGTTTTCCGAACCCGGCGTCTCTAAGCACCCTCCTCGCTTTCCTACATCATCTGTTTGATCAAGGTTTGGCACACTCGACTCTCAACGTTTGCAATTCAGCTATCGTCTCTTATCAACCTATTGGATCTGAGCCTTCACGCTGATTTTTGCACCCAACTCTGAAGAAGTTTCCTAGGGGTCTGAAGAACATTTGTCCTCCGGTTAAACCCCCCACTCCCTCAAGGGTCTCTTCAGGTTGTGCTTTCGTGCATTTGCTCCCCCCACTGTTTGAGCCATTTGCTTGTGCAAGCTTGAAGCTTCTTTCCTTCAAGACACCGTTCCTAGTGGCGATTACTTCTGCTAGATGAGCGAGTGAGTTGGCTGCCCTAAGGGCGGATGCCCACTATATTAAATTTCATCCGGATAAGGTGACACTGTATTCCGATGTGTCTTTTCTGCCAAAAGGTTGCTCCAACTTTTCATGTTAATCAGCCTTTGATCCTTCCGACGTTGTTTCCTTCTCCTCCTTCCGACGTTGAGCATGTTCTCCATTCCCTTGATGTTTGCCGTGCCCTGGCGCTTTATGTTTCTGGAACCAAGGACTTTCGTAGTTCTCCTTGCCTCTTTGTTTGTTTCCATGGCCCACGAAAGGAGTGTCCTCCCTCTTCACAGACTATATCAAAGGGGATCACAGGTGCTATTACCCTGGCATACGAATTGGTGGGAAAAACTCTGCCAGAGGTGCAGAAAGCCAACTCTACGAGAGCGATGGCCAACTCTACTGCCTTGCTGCGTGGTATCGAGGTTTCTGACATCTGTAAAGTGGCCACCAGGTCTATGCCTTCGACTTTTGTCACACACTGTTGTCTAGATGTCAGGGCCAAGAAGGAGGCGAGTTTTGGCAGCGGTCTGCTGACTTCGATGTTGGCGTGATGGCCCTCCATCCGGTGAGTTACCTTGCTAGTCACCCATTCATGTGCATTCACAGAGGCCACGAAGACGAAAGAGCGGTTACTTCCCTGTAACCCTGGTTCTTCGAGTGGTCCTCTGTGAATCCACACATCCCGCCCATCCTCCCCGCTGTCCGTCACTTGCTTGTCTTGGGGCTTCAGAGCTTTGACAGCGGCGGGCATGATTGGAACGGAGGTATTACAGGAGGGTGGAGCACACGCACCACGGGGGGGGGAACGTCTTACTAATCACATGTTTTTAAGCTCTAGAAGCTTCCGAGGAGTCCTGTGCAAACGCAATAAAGCCCATTTATGTGCATTCACAGAGTACCACTTGAAGAACCATGGTTACAGATAAGTAACCTCTCTTTTTCCCTGGCGAATAATTATCTCATGGTAATACTGCTGTATGCGTCTTGAGCCTTAACTGTGGTCGTCTTGCCTAT